TCTGCCGATCGGAGCAAGTGGTGGTGGAATGACGACTCATCCCCATGATATGGAATGTAGTTCCCGGATAAGATATGACCAGCTTTACGACGTGTTGTACATGTTCGTGTGGGTTAATTGTGTAAGGTTTATACTACCGTTAGGTCATGCTACGATAGATAGGGGAATCAAGAGCCTGATGGGAAGGTATAGGTACCTAGTTAGCTTGATAGGTCATATCCATGTTGGAGGGCGGGTAGGCGTACTGCTGTAAGTCTTACACGTTCTTCTGGTGTGGATTAGGGGATGAGTGGGAACCCTAAATAGAAGTGTCATTAACGCTTGCCTTTTTTGCATGGAGGGATTTTGCGGGCCGGTGTAGAATCCTTTTTGAATGTTTTGTTTTTTGGAAAATCCCTCCATGTTTACATATTTTTGTTATGACATGACGGACCTTTATTTTGTTGACATTTTGGTATTTTATTTGATTCCAATTTGAGAATTTATCATTGTATATTGTTATTATTTCTATATTTTGTACTTATATTGAAGTTTTTATGTTTGCTTCTGAACTGCATATATGTTGTTTAAATTTGATCTTTAATATGGCCACAGCCATATTTGGATTGATACTGTGGCGGTTGGATCTAACATCACTTATTCCCTTTAAACTCGGATACTCCTCGGAGTAATTGTGACTTGGAAAGTGCATCAAAAGTCAGGTATTGATTTGTATTTCCATTTTTAATATAATATAGACCGCTTTCTCCTAGAATTATTGTGTTTTTGACATTGGGTTGGGAGATAGCGCGTTCGACTTGCACTTACTGGAAACAAATTGAACTGCTACGGTAGAAAATCCATCTACATAGAAGTCGCACCATAGATTTTTCGAAATTCTTCAGAACAATCCCCGTGGATGGTCGAAGATCACTGCAACGATAATATGTAACTTCTGCAGACTCCAAACATCTCATATTCGACCGAAGAATTCTTCCTTTTAATAGCTTTGAGGGAGTCTCTTTCGTCACCTAATGTCTGGCATTTATATATTGCAGTAGAAATGTATCTACTCCCCTCTCCACCTCAGTAAATGTTGAGGCGGCAATAGAATCAATCCACTTCGAATGCTGATTTTTCAGCTTATGACACTTTTCGCAATTCATTGCTGTACGACAAATATCTGCATTTATCTCTGGCCACCAACACGTGAGCCTCGCCAATGACTTCTTTTTCTCAGCACCCAAATGTCGACTATGAAGATCTTCCAGGACAGCTTTACGCAATGAAGGAGGAATAACAACCCGATCATTTAAACAAAAAATACCATCAGGAGTAGTGGATAGCTCATCCCGCTTTGAAAAATAGATAGGGAATCTACGTTTCAGATTAGCATTCCAACCTTTCCGTATAGCATTAATTTAACATCCAAAGTTTCTACGAGTTTCTCTAATGAGATCTGGACGTTTCACTGGTAAATGTTGAACCAACAAACAGTATGAAGTATTAACAGGTTTATCTTGTAATGACTGTCGAGAAATGTAGTCAACATGTTGAATTTGCTTGGCACTCCTGTGCTGAACCGTATAGTCGTAGGCACTGAAAGCAATACTCCATCGTTGAACCATAGCAGCTGAGGCACGTGCTAAGGATTTTTCAGGATGATAAATAAACTGCAAAGCCTTATGATCAGTAACAATAGTGAATTTCTTTCCGAATAAATATTTATGAAGTCTTTTAACAACCCAAAACACAGCTAATGCCTCTCGCTTAGTCTGTGAATAGCCTTGTTCAGTAACAGTTAGTTTGCGTGAAACACAAATAACTGGTCTACCTTCCTGTTCCAAAACTGCGCCAATACCCACAGGTGATGCACCAGTGATAAGCACAGACTGTACACTAGGGGAGTAAGTTCGAAGAACAGCATCACTTTGAAGAAACTTTAGTAGACTACATAAGCATGACTCTTGTTCCTCACCCCATTTGAATGAATCGGATGTCAAAATATTAAATAAACAATTTGCAAGAAAAATTAGGAATAAAACGGGAATAGTATTGAAGAGCACCCAATAGTGAACGTAGTTCCGTAAGATTTTTTGGAGACGGTGCATTTGTCAGTGATGCTAGTCGTTTCATATCTGGTCTAAAACCATTACCATCAACTAGGTATCCAAGACATTCAAAACTAGATACACAAAATGAACACTTATTTGGATTTACTGTAATATTCTTCTCAATTAAACGACGCAATAAGGCATTAAGTCACTCACTGGTCATGAACTCCCTTATCAGCACCATGAACAATCAGATCATCTTGATAAACTTCAACACCTTCAAGATCATTAACCACCTTATTCATAACTTCCTGGAATATGGCTGGAGAACAACTTAGACCAAATGGAAGGAAATTATATTTAAACAGACCAAAAGGAGTATTAATTGTCGTCAAAATAGATGAGGATTGATCTAAAGGGATTTGAAGATAAGCATCTTGTAGGTCAACTTTCGAGAACACTTTAGAACCATGAAGTCGATTTAGGATATCTTCAGCCTCTATCGTCGTGCATGTTTGCATGTTAGTCTATAGTCACCACATATTCTAGGAGTCTTGTCATCCGATTTCAGTGGCGTAACAATAGGAGTACCCCATGCAGAAGACTGAACAGGTTCAATTATGCCTTTTGCACACAAATCATTCAAAGTCTTATGCACTGCATCTCGAAGACCATAAGGAATTATTCGACTTTTGAGAGAGACTGGATCACCATGTACTTGAAGTTTTATAGGCTGGATTTTCATACCTCCATTGCACTTAGCACACGTGGCTATCAAATCTTTAAGTAAAGCATCAAAATTTTCTTTAGAAACTAGGAAAGACAAGTCCACTTTAAGTCTTCCCAAATTCTTTAAACCCAGTATTGACAGTCCTGTTTCGCTAACTAAGAATTCACAAGGTATGTATGAGGAATTATCATCTCTAATTAGCAATTCACAACATCCTCGTATAGGCAGTCTGTGTCCAGTAATCCCCAATATTGATACTTCAGTGGGTCGTATCACAACGTTAGGATCTAACGATTTCAAGTTCTTGAATGAAATAATGGACTCTATACTGCCTGTGTCCACAATAAAGTCATGACATGAACCAAGTGATGTATATGATCGCTTTTGAATATGAGCATTACCTTTCGAAATGGCAGACAAAGATAAATGATCATTAGGATCAGCTGAATTAATGGAATCTAAACTACAAGATTTAGTACTACTTCAGGCAAAATGAACAGTAGCTTTGCATACTGCTTGAATGTGTCCTATCTTACCACATCTAAAACATTTAGCATTACGAAATGCACATGAATTACAAGAATGGAGTTTTCCACATGATAAACATTTGCCAAACTTGGTCTCACCTTTGTGATTTCCTTTGTAATTCTTTATTGAAACACCGTTCATATTTACACGAGAATAGGAACCACTGTTAAACGAACACAAGTTTGATTGACCCTGAGATTGTATTTCATCATGACAACTAATCAAAGTATTGGAAATCTTCATCGACTGAATATCAAGTCCATTCAACGCCTCGTAATTAATGCACGCAGTTCTAACATCTTGAAAGGAACAGTTTGACATTCTTAACAGCTCTCTTTCCAAACTAGGTATGTTGATTCCTGCAATTTATCGGTCTCTCAGCTGCACATGAAGTTGATCACCGAAATTACATTTGACAGCTTGTTTCTGCAATTCAAGAATGAATTCCTTAACCTTTTGCTCATTTTGACGAATCATCTTATGAAATTTCGCCCTTTCATGGCATTCAAAATCAGGGCACTTTACATGATTTAATAATAACTCCTTAAGCATTGCATAGGGGAGTGAGATAGGTTTTTGTGGATATGCCAAGGTTTTTAATAAGCTGTACGCTTCTTTTCCGATGAATGTCAGGAAATGAGCCACAATTTTATCATCTTTGACATCTTTCCCGGTCATACTCCAGATTTCAAATCTTTCCAAATAATCTTCAAAAGCTTCAGAATTAGAATGAATATCTAGCTGTTCCATTACAAGTTCCATCGCGACGCCAATATGATAATTATTAGTATGTGAATCAAGAACTACGAGGTGAGCACAAACGAATGTACTGTATTTAGAATTCGAAATCAAGCATTCAACAACAACAAGAAGTCACTAGTTAATTCAAACACCACAAGTTTCCAATTACATTATTTGTATTCGATATATAAACTTCAAAGTAAATTTTCCCATATTATCTGTCTCATGTTTGACACATCGACTCAATTGAGATAAAATAGTGATTCGACCAGAGAAAACACGTAATGGTTATTGATTGATACAAGTAGATCTGGTGATCGGTTTAGAGTTTTGAACTAACTTTGTTTCCCAGACGAAACTACGGATGATTTAGATTTGCTAACAGCAATTCTGATAAAATGATTGATTGTTACTAAACTCTTTCACTGATCCTTTCGTGTACATGATATTTTTCTCTTGTTATAATGACTCACTGTCGCTGGACTAAATGAGTGTGTCAATATGCAGTAAGACTAAATTACTTTGTCAGACAGCAACTGACCGACTAAGTATGAAAATAGTGATCATACAAAATAACCACTGATGACCATCTGTTCCTGTCTACGGTCACGGTTATCTTCTTCACAATATGTAGCAAATGTCACTATGGACAATTTAATCAATGTATATTCATGAAGTGAGAGGGTTTGTGAAGATCATTTCTTGGGGAGATGTGGATACACACCACTGATGAGTCCCAAACTAGGATGGAACATTCATCATTTGTTCTCCAGTTTCTAATTTACTCCAGTTGATATTATTACATAATAAAAACTAAAGTCATTTTACATTCAATTCAATGTAAGTAAGTGTTTGTGAAATACTGAAGATTGCATTGTGCATAGACTTATTTCATTCAGCAGCAATAAAATGATATTGACTTAAAGAATGATTTCACTGTTATTTATTTATTATGAATATTAAATCAGATTTCCCCACAAAGAAGAAGTAAATCAACTACTACTGTACCGAACTTAACATTACATCGTGCTCATACTGTACCTTATTATCAACTTCAACATAATAATTTATTCAGAACAAAGTCAATGAATGCTCCAACTGCTAATGCTGCACCAATAGGTTTCATGGAATCACATTCAATGGAACAATGTTAACCAATAATTCACATGGGAGAACAACAAAAGCAAAAGATATATACAATAAGATCGTTTGATATTGTTTGTTAGTAGTAGTGGTTCTGAATATCATCAAATAAATCTTGCTTCTATATTAGATACATTCATTTAGATTTATTTGTTAAACAGAAAAAATAGTCCAAAACACTAACTGAAAATATAGCAAGTCACAAATGTTGAAGAATATCTATCGTCATCTAACTTACTTCATTTTGTCATATGTTACTGTACACTATTATCCATATAATATATATATAATATATATAATTGTGTAAGGTTTATACTACCGTTAGGTCATGCTACGATAGATAGGGGAATCAAGAGCCTGATGGGAAGGTATAGGTACCTAGTTAGCTTGATAGGTCATATCCATGTTGGAGGGCGGGTAGGCGTACTGCTGTAAGTCTTACACGTTCTTCTGGTGTGGATTAGGGGATGAGTGGGAACCCTAAATAGAAGTGTCATTAACGCTTGCCTTTTTTGCATGGAGGGATTTTGCGGGCCGGTGTAGAATCCTTTTTGAATGTTTTGTTTTTTGGAAAATCCCTCCATGTTTACATATTTTTGTTATGACATGACGGACCTTTATTTTGTTGACATTTTGGTATTTTATTTGATTCCAATTTGAGAATTTATCATTGTATATTGTTATTATTTCTATATTTTGTACTTATATTGAAGTTTTTATGTTTGCTTCTGAACTGCATATATGTTGTTTAAATTTGATCTTTAATATGGCCACAGCCATATTTGGATTGATACTGTGGCGGTTGGATCTAACATCACTTATTCCCTTTAAACTCGGATACTCCTCGGAGTAATTGTGACTTGGAAAGTGCATCAAAAGTCAGGTATTGATTTGTATTTCCATTTTTAATATAATATAGACCGCTTTCTCCTAGAATTATTGTGTTTTTGACATTGGGTTGGGAGATAGCGCGTTCGACTTGCACTTACTGGAAACAAATTGAACTGCTACGGTAGAAAATCCATCTACATAGAAGTCGCACCATAGATTTTTCGAAATTCTTCAGAACAATCCCCGTGGATGGTCGAAGATCACTGCAACGATAATATGTAACTTCTGCAGACTCCAAACATCTCATATTCGACCGAAGAATTCTTCCTTTTAATAGCTTTGAGGGAGTCTCTTTCGTCACCGAATTTGTGGCATTTCTATATTGCAGTAGAAAGGTATCTACTCCCCTCTCCACCTCAGTAAATGTTGAGGCGGCAATAGAATCAATCCACTTCGAATGCTGATTTTTCAGCTTATGACACTTTTCGCAATTCATTGCTGTACGACAAATATCTGCATTTATCTCTGGCCACCAACACGTGAACCTCGCCAATGACTTCTTTTTCTCAGCACCTAAATGTCAACAATGAAGATCTTCCAGGACAGCTTTACGCAATGAAGGAGGAATAACAACCCGATCATTTAAACAAAAAATACCATCAGGAGTAGTGGATAGCTCATCCCGCTTTGAAAAATAGATAGGGAATCTACGTTTCAGATTAGCATTCCAACCTTTCCGTATAGCATTAATTATACATCCAAAGTTTCTACGAGTTCCTTTAATGAGATCTGGACGTTTCACTGGTAAACGTAACACCAACAAACAGTCTGAAGTATTAACAGGTTTATCTTGTAATGACTGTCGAGAAATGTAGTCAACATGTTGAATTTGCTTGGCACTCCTGTGTTGAACCGTATAGTCGTAGGCACTGAAAGCAATACTCCATCGTCGAACCATAGCAGCTGAGGCACGTGCTAAGGATCTTTCAGGATGATAAATAAACTGCAAAGCCTTATGATCAGTAACAATAGTGAATTTCTTTCCGAATAAATATTTATGAAGTCTTTTAACAACCCAAAACACAGCTAATGCCTCTCGCTTAGTCTGTGAATAGCCTTGTTCAGTAACAGTTAGTTTGCGTGAAACACAAATAACTGGTCTACCTTCCTGTTCCAAAACTGCGCCAATACCCACAGGTGATGCACCAGTGATAAGCACAGACTGTACACTAGGGGAGTAAGTTCGAAGAACAGCATCACTTTGAAGAAACTTTAGTAGACTACATAAGCATGACTCTTGTTCCTCACCCCATTTGAATGAATCGGATGTCAAAATATTAAATAAACAATTTGCAAGAAAAATTAGGAATAAAACGGGAATAGTATTGAAGAGCACCCAATAGTGAACGTAGTTTTTTTTTTTTTTTTTTTTTTTTTTTTTTTTTTTTTTTTTTTTTTTTTTTTTTTTTTTTTTTTTTTTTTTTTTTTTTTTTTTTTTTTTTTTTTTTTTTTTTTTTTTTTTTTTTTTTTTTTTTTTTTTTTTTTTTTTTTTTTTTTTTTTTTTTTTTTTTTTTTTTTTTTTTTTTTTTTTTTTTTTTTTTTTTTTTTTTTTTTTTTTTTTTTTTTTTTTTTTTTTTTTTTTTTTTTTTTTTTTTTTTTTTTTTTTTTTTTTTTTTTTTTTTTTTTTTTTTTTTTTTTTTTTTTTTTTTTTTTTTTTTTTTTTTTTTTTTTTTTTTTTTTTTTTTTTTTTTTTTTTTTTTTTTTTTTTTTTTTTTTTTTTTTTTTTTTTTTTTTTTTTTTTTTTTTTTTTTTTTTTTTTTTTTTTTTTTTTTTTTTTTTCCGCTGTGATATTTTCACAAACTTTGGTGATGATAAGTCATTGTCAATTGTTGAATTATCTACTTCCTTATTCTTTTGTACATAAACACATTAAGATATACATATATATATACATACCTCTGCAGATAGATATATGTTTACTCTTAGCATTGAGCATGAATCACGACAAATTATTAACAATTTATTACAATATGTATTATTCTAATTTGGTTTATGTGAGCACTATAACGAAACAAAACATCCCAGAAACAATTAGAATTCGAATACTTTCTCTTTTTCCCCGATAGAAAGAGTCCATTATAATCCATTTAAAAAGAAATATCACTCTGATTCTTTTTCATTAGTTTTTCAACTTTTATTTTTTCTCAGATAAATAACTTGACTTATTCTGTTGTTATCTAGAACGAACATGTAACTACTGAAATTTGAAATAACATTACCATATCTATTAGGCCAATTAACCTTACATGGCTATTTCTTTTGTTTTCTCCTTATTGATCAGTGGAAAGTAACACAAATATAAAATAGCCAATGGATATTGAAGATTTTTTCATAGATTTATTAACTCATCTATTCCTCTTTTATTTTCTTATAGATAAGGGGTTTCTGTAAAATATGGTTCGCCAGAAATTTTTAATAACATTCCTAATGGCGAGCACACACCGTAGGAATATATTTAGTTGCAGATAACTACTCAACATCAATGTACCATATTATCTATTCCCAACTTCAACAACGCAACGTCCGGAGAACATAGTTTCGGTCTTTGACAAGGTTGTGATTACGTCATGCTAAAGTTTCCTACCGGCATAAAAAAATATATTGCCACACAACATGTCACCACTACAAAAGTAAACATGAGCGAATGTCTTCAGATGCATCATCAAAAGTAGAACACTGAGTTTGCAGGTGACTCACCACCAGCCAGTGAGCTTATAAGACCTAACTCTGTACGTCAAATCTAATCAAAGACAAAACTAGTCAGGAAACTTTTCATCCATCACCGAAGATTTAGTTTTATTCATGTTTTTAGTATAGGGAAGTATAAATGGAATATCACTGAACCGTAGTTTTTGTTATTTTTGAAATGTAAAAACTTTGTAATCCTGCATTCACGAGTTAGGTGAAACCAATGGTTGGAGTGTCTACGTGATTTGGTTAGAAAAATTATCATTGACAATTACAGTCATCTCACAGCTGTTTAATAGTCTGCGTTCTCACTATTAACTTCTTCTTGGATTAATCAGTTTTGATTCTTGTGTACCAATCACAAGCATCGTAACTTGAACTAATACATTTTTGTAAGTGGTTTTATGTTGTATCGTACATATTTACACGTTAGTCTAAGTACATGAATTTGCGTCCCATTTTCCTTAAGTCGGAAGCAGTTTCGCAGACACACTGACTATTAACAGATTAAATGAAATGCACCATCTTGAGTTAATTTGTTGCCTATTCATACTGTCACATACGACTCAATAATTGAGTTGCTATTGAATCTGTAACGGTGACAGACATCGGTCTATCGGAAAGCAAATAAGCCACGCTGTAGCTTGCGTCGTTTTATTTCACGACTATGAAACTTCTCCTTTGAAGGATTTAGACATATGTTGCAAGCAGGTTTCCAATCACAAGTTCTTTTCAAGGAACTCGTGTATACTGGAACCATTGGGTGAATTATTCTGGCGTCACCAGCAAAGTAATAGGATATGGTTATGTACCAGTTAATGATGTCACGACACTTCAGTAACTTTTATGTAACCGAAATACATGTCAAAAAGGCACAATCATCGTTGGTCTGTGGTTGTTGATGTTGGATTAAATTGGAAGGTTCTTACTGAACTGAATCGCCGTATTGGTCCATGGACTATATTAGTTCATACCCTGCGAGATGAAGGCTTCGTGGTGAAACTCTTCATCAAGGTCGTGGCTGAAGATTGGAAGATTTTGCCCAGAATCATCCATAATTGTACTAGTGCATTTATTCCTTATATTTACTCCAACATTAATATTTGAATTACAATATACTCTTAATTTCCGATTTCACTCGATTCTAGCACCTTTCGCTTCATTATACTGTTTCTTCCATTAAGAATATCACTTAATCCTTCTTTTGGTTTCCCGTAATCTTACTAATATGAAGGACAAAAAACGACTTATGGTTGGAGAGAAGCTGTGATACAGGAGCAGGAATTCACATACTCCGTGCACCTTTATCTGCCCACTAACCGAATAATGTCAATACATAAATCATTAAAGTCAGGATGAAATATTGTCTAGTATCTTCAGAATCTATTAGCCATCTATTGTTTGTTAAACAGAAATTGAGTCTTAACAAACC